GAACGGTTTGGATTTTATGGGCTCTTACAGGTGACGTGTTACAATACCTCCTGACAATTTTCACGGCACCTAGACACACTAAAATGGCCGCTGCGGCACGTAGGAATGTCATAGAATGACAAAACCAAAACTGGCTTGTTCGCCTCATCAAGACCTACAAATCACGTGCTTACATCCCTGACCTAAATACAACAGGAAATGAGCTAGTGCCTCTGAAAGTAACATGAGCAAATGTGGAGAAATTGTCAGCTGTGACCTAGACCTGATCCACCAGCGATCAAGATCAAATTTTTGACTCCATAAACATGAAAACCTATATGTCTGCATTCAGGACGAGTGCCTCTCTCTGCTGGTATGCTCAGATTAACGATTGGACCCACGGTTTGGGAATTAAAGGGAGGAGTTCGACACATTTTAAAACCATCTCAATCTGCCTTAAAATGGCCACTGCAACCCGTACGAATGTCGTAGAAAGATCAAACCAAAACTGGCTTGTTCTTCTCTTTGAGACCTACAAATCACTCTCTGACACCCCTGACCTAAACCCAATAGGAAGTGAGCTATTTGCCCTTTCAAAGTAAGATTTCGCCTCAAAAATGCTCTTTTTCAAACTTTTTCAAAAAATACCTTCTCCTACACCATTTATCGTATGAGCTTCAAACATGCACACATAACAGGCCAACTCCTGCTGAACAGATCTTCTGAAGAACTTTGTCATTACTTGAACGGTTTGGATTTTATGGGCTCTTAAAGGTGATGTGCCACAAAACCTCCTGAATGTCTTCACACCACCTAGACACACTACAATGGCCCACCATTTATCGTATCAGCTTCCACTCGCACACATCACAGGCCAACTTCTGCTGAACAGATCTGTGTATAACTTTGTCATGATTCAAATGGTTTGGATTTTATGCCCTCTTAAGGGTGATGTGACACAAAACCTCCTGATAATCTTCGTGCCACCTAGCCACACTAAAGTGGCCACTGCGGCCCGTAGGAATGTCGTACAGAGATCAAACCAAAACTGGCTTGTTTGCCTCATCAAGACCTACAAATCATGCGCTGACACCCCTGACCTAAATCCAACAGGAAGTGAGCTAGGGCCTCTGAAAGTAACAAGTGCAAATGTGGAGAAATTGTCAGCTGTGAGCTAGAGTGGAGAGGGGTCTAAAATCGTTGAAAACGTTTGTCTTTAACTGTCTATGTGAGCTGGAGGCCGAAAAGGCGTGAGCCCGAGGTCCCGCCCAATGCTGCTTGCAGCTTTAATTATTATTATTATTCAGAAATGTCTTCCTGTGAGATGGTACATCATAGAGACATGCCATTTTCACCAGTGATTGGAAGTTGTGTGCAAATGGTGCTCAAGAAATATAATGCCAACAGGCTAGATGGTGGTGCTATAATTAAGGTCAAGGAAAATTTGGTTTTGAAAGGCCACCACTGTCTCACCATATGTCAGATTGACTTGAAACTCGACACATATGGTCAGGTGAAGGGGCTCTATGAAAGCCTTATGCCTGGTACACACTACACAACATTTCTGTCCATTCTGACAGTGACTATGTCACATTACGCAATTGTGGAGTCATAAGATAGTGCCATGACTTGGCCGAAGACATGACACACTACACGATGGTCCACACTAATCATCCCCTGTCATCTTTCACGACATGATGTCAACGGGTTGTTCTTGTCCTATTTTTATTACTTTTACTATTATTTCAGTCACGGTGTCTGTTCATGTCCCAGCTGAAATGTTGCCACCAGATGCCAGGAGCTACATTTGAAGTACCATATGAAAACATGCAAGTCACTGAATCCTATTTAGAAAATGGAGGGATTCTCTCAACCGAGGTTATAAGTGGCTTTTAATTTGAAAGAGATACAAGAAGTGTTGAGTTTGAAATGACAGCGCGATGCATTGACTTTATCAAGGCAAACAGGAGCGGATCAAAAGTAAAAATATAAAAATACAAAGGGAATAATAAATAACTGCCCGTTTATAATATTGTCTGTTTCAAATGAAGTGAACTGCAGTTGTGGTAAGTAAAAGCCACTATTTTTTTTTATTACTTGTCACTATGTCCATCTCCATTATGAAGAAGTAACATTGTTTGCTAGCTTGATGCTAATGGCAGTACTCAGCGGGTTGACAAAGTGCCTCTGCTGTTTCACACCATAATTTTTCCCTTTTTTCTCTGTTGTGGTAACATCCCTAGAGGAAATGTCAAAAACCCCGGGATGTTGTTGTCGTACAGTTGTCAACAGCAGCAGATCGCTCTGTGTCCCTACTGGTCAAAGTGACGGCTCAAACATACTAGACTTTATGTTGGAATGTCGTGAGGCGTCCCAGACGTGGTGTCGATTGGCGTCTACTATGACACACTACATGAGGTTAAACGATGGATTATCGTGTACGACACTCATTGTCTCATTGTCAAATGAGACAGTGAGTACAAACTACAAAACTTGTAGCAACATAAGTAACTGAATCATACCCTGAAAGTTTGATTCAAATCGACCGATAGGGGGCACTAAACATGCAGAAAGTTGATCTCATAATCAGCCATAGACATTTGTACAAAATTAGGTTTGCATCATCGAGGCTCATTTCTCAGTCGATGCACAAAATTTGAAAATTATTGCATAACAGGTGTTTGGCTTATTGCAATAAATTTAAATTGCAAGACATTTCACATTCCAAACTTAAAAAAAATCATAATAAATGACTAGTATGTCCTACACAGCTGAAATGTTTTCAGCACATCCACTGAATTCTGACTTTTTTTTTTTTTTTTTTAAAAAGTCTTCATCTAAATGCAAGCACCATTGAAGAAACATTCTTTGGATACTAGATGTCATATGTTTCAAATAGTGTTCAGATTGGTTTAACGGTTATCTCACAATGATATATATCATCTTAATTTCTCCTGTATGCACTACATTTTCTATTTCATCTAATTTTTTACCAAATGTCTCCAAAATATTAGACAATATACCTAAAATCAACAGAATGATGTGAGATTTTTTTTTCGAAATTTTACCACCAACGCTTTAACTGTTATTGATATCTCATTGCTTTTTTAAGATATTGACCAGTGAACTTTAAAGGGGGCGTGGCTCAGCAAATGACTCCACAACGTTTGGGCCAATCATCACAAACCTTGCAAGGAATGTCTGAAGAGGTACCAGGAACATAACTCAAAAGTTTTATTATATGACCAGTAGGGGGCACCACAAATACAAAAAATGGGCACGCAATAGCACAAATCACACTAAAAATCAGAAATTGATCGTTCAATCATTACAAAACTTGCAGGGTATGTTTTTACTGGTTTTGACTTGTTTTACTGGTTTTATTGGTTTTAATGGTTTTCATTATTTTAATTTTTTAAATGATTTTGTGTCTTTTATCTTTTAGCGGTCCATTTCTGCTCTCAGCTATTATTTTATTCTTACTCTTATGGCTTTATCTTTTATAATTTTATATTGTTTTTAACTAGTTTTACTGATTACTTGATGGCTGTAACTATTTGATTACTTTTTGCTCTGCGAAGCACATTGTGCTTCCACCTGGAACGAAATGTGCTATATAAATAAAGTTTTGCTTGCTATGTTGAATAATAATTATCAACCATGTTTATTTAATTATTTTTAATTATTAAATTTGGTCAATAGGGAGCACCCCAAGTTACAAACAAGTGCAGTGGCCTTTCACATGATTTGGCCACAATCAGTGTGGGTTTGTTCAAACATCACCAGACTTGGTGAACTTTTTTAATTAAGCCATTAAAGCATGTCACCAAATTTTTTTTGCAGTTGACAAATAGTAAGTGACAGTGCTTCCAAAGAAAAGCGTGGCCCAGTAGAGATTTGGACATAAATGAATGACCATCTGTCTGACTGTCATAAAACCTACTGTTTATATTCAATGCAGGCATCCTAAACTGTCAAAGGTCTTGATTCTACCCAGCTTTCGAGTTTTAAATGTCCATGCTGGCTTGAACCCTGGAACTGCCCTTGCAGCTATATTCTATAGTTTATTTGAGGTGTTATAATTTACATATAACATATAACTTTATTGTAGATAGATTGCTACTGAGTCTTTCATACACACAAAAAAGAAATCATAATGGAGATGGGTTTGCCTTTATGAAGGCATAGGAGCTGGCCCCACTTTATTAATTTAACATACGTTCTTCTTTTAACTTGGGTGTATTTCAAAGGTATTTCTGAGTTACAAAAGCCTGTTCTATGGCCAACACACTGTTGGAGGGCCCACTCTCTCTACAGGCCCCAGCGCCCCATAGGCCCCAGCGCAAAAGCACTGCCTGCACTGTCCATATTTACGCCCCTGGTCTGAAGGTAATTTATAAAAAGTGCTTGAGTTTGACCAACATGCATTTCTAACAGCCTATGGTCTACTTAATACAATGAACAGTAAATCTCAGCTATTCATTTTGGAAATTGTAAAGTTTCAAAGGCACCTTGTGAGGATTTTCTTTGGTTATTTTGTTACAAGGTGCTTCTTATTACTTATTCTCTTATCAGTCCACTATTTGATGAGTTTGGAATGAGAACAAACTGGACATCTGTGCCAAGACTTCCTCTTACGTGTTGGTAATCTCTGAAAATAGATGTCTGTATGTAATAGTTGTCAGATGATAGCCGGTGGGCTCCAAGATTGCAGTTTGGCCAATGCCTTCCACCTCTTTACTGTACATGGACTGGGTTCCTGCCGCTTAAATGTGAGTGGTCAGTACAATACGGACTACGAATAGAAACCAGAATATTTCCAAAAACAAATCTTATCTCCTGTCCTGCAGATTCTGCACACATATTCAGAAATTGTTTATGGAGATTAAAGTTGGTGTGTAAATTTGAGAGTCATTTTAGAAAGTTAGAAAGGAGGTAGGAGACATCAATATGAAAGTTGTCCAGTGCAAAGGGACACCTGAAACTGTTCCTGATGTTAGTCCATTTGTTGTTTGGTTCAGATGGAGCTGTCTGACATGGCTTCACATGCTGGTCTTACCTTGGCCAGCCTCGTCCAGAGAGGGCAGGAGCTGGTCGAGAAGCTCCACATCCTAAAGGTGGACCGCCAAGAGTTTGCCTGCATCAAGTTCCTCATCCTCTTTAACCCAGGTTAGTGACAACTGATGCTTTTTATCCATTAAGTATCAAATTGGTAAAAAAAAATGAAAAAAATGAAAAAAGGTCTTGGAGTTCCAAACAGATTTAATGGATTATTTGTAAATTATTCCACAAGTGTATTTAAGCCAAGGGACCTTTCAATATCTAATAATGCAAACAGCAATCAATCAATCAATCAATTAAATGATGATGATCAATTAATTAAATCTAGTGAAATGTAATCTGTAAGTTCCTTTAATTTGTGTGTTTAAAACAGTGTAAAAAAAATAACTATATGTCTATGAAGGGAGGCATTTATATCTGTCGCCGAGCGTGTGTTGTCCCACACATCTAACACACACACATGCCCATAGCTACAAGGAGCTTCTCACAGGATGCTGATTGGTCTGAAGCTCTGGTGGTTCGGACACAAAGGCATTACTTAATGCCTGATGAGAAGGACTTTCAGGTGATCATGTGATCCTTGTGTGACTGCGTGATATGAGAATCAAGCTGCCGTGTAAGCTAATGTGATTGAGGACCGAACAAGAACAGTGTATACATACTTCCACATGGAACTACCAAGTTGTGAACTGAAATTGCTTTCTATTAGCTAACAGTTTTTTTTATGCCTCTGCACCAGCGATAGCCACAGCCAGAGGCATGTTATTTTCACATTAGTCTGTCCATTCCATGCTTGTGAACACTATATCTCAAGAACGCCACAAGGGAATTTCTTCAAATTTGGCACAAATGTTCATTTGGAGTTAACGGTGAATTGGGTCATTTTTGGTGGTCATAGGTCACTTTGATCTTGTTTGTCTCATTCTCATGAACACAATATCTCAAGAACGCTTTGAGGGAATTTCTTCAAATTTGGTCAGTATGACCTCAAAAATATGTTTTTGGCTCAAGAATTCATATGCTAATTATGACAAAACTTCACACAAATGTCAAATAGAATAAAATAATGAAGTGGTGACATTTTATATCCAAAAGGTCAAAGGTCAGCTTCACATCATAATGTTCTGCATATAATACTTATTCAGCGTCATATCTCAAGAACAGAAGGGGAGACATTTGGTCAGACACTGAATTGGTGACTTTAATCTTGAGTGTCCATCTTGAAACTGTGCTGATTGTATAGCTCTTCTGTGTTGCTGGGGTGAAGATGTGTGTGAAGCATCCATGTTTTCACAGACATAGATGTAAACTGTAAGAGAAACCTGACTGTTGTGCGAAGGCATACAACTACGGGGCAGTAATTCCAATTGTTTTGTTGTTGTTGTTGTTGTTGTTGTTGTTGTTGTTGCAGTTGCAGTTTGGTAGGTTTTTGAAACAAAACTACCAGTTTAGGTTTAGGAAGAAATCATTATTTGGATTAGAATAGTCTGTTTCACAACATGAACCCCGTTTTGTGGTAGAGGGCACTAAAGGCTAACTTCCGCCATGTGCATTTTCCTACAACACTTGTAAGGTGCCACCAGTTGCCATGCTACGTTTTTTTACAAGTTGTCATTCTTAACCTGGCAGACGCTTGTCAGAGGGCACAGTTTGATGCAGTAGCCAGGTAGCGTATGAAATGTAAGCTACTGAGAGTGAGGGTTGGACAGGTGAATCATTCAAATACAATGCTTGCATTTTATGTCACTTTCAGGGGGCACACAAAATGTTTCTGAGGGCCTTCATTGGCCCACAGCCTGCACTGCGTCGAACTATGGACGAGAAAAAAAAACAGAGTCTAAAGCCCAGTTGAGACCAAAGATTTGCAACAAGATGAAACTGTTGTAGAACGTTGCAGAGAAAAGTTGCAGCAGTGTGAACTGGCTGGTCTGAGCTCGACTCAAGCCGGCTGACAGTGTCACCTGCATCTCAGCTGGTCAAATCACCGGCGACTGGTTTAAGAATGTAAAGCACGTCTCCTGCTACAACAGCCAGTCGGCTTGTAGTGAAATCTGCTGGTGAAAATGACCGCAGACGGCATGTTCGCTTGCTGTGGCAGGTGCCGCTGAGCCCTCAGTTTCTGCTGCTGCTCGCTGTACTGTATATGTGTATGCACCGCCCACACACACACATACACACACACACACACACACACACACACACACACATACACACACACACACAAACACACATACATGCATTCTCACTGACTGATTAATTGGTGCGAGTTACATATAATATTGTGGCCTATTTATTATGAATACAGTCCATCTGATGCTCGTTTTGTTACTGTTTTTCACCGTTTCATCACTACCGCAAATGCAACTGTAGCCAGTATCTCACTATCACTGTCCTCATTCATATTTTAAAGAAGCTACAAATTGTATTCAGCCACAAAATAAGCCTGAAAACATGGAAATCAGAACAAAGTACAGAGAGTTGTTGGATGGAGATGATACACTGTCTAATCTAGTTGCATTGGTGTGAATAGACAGGTTTTTAGAGCGTTGCAGAAAGGTTCATTGCAAATAGTTGCCTGTTTCAGCTCGTCTCATTGCAAATGTTTGGTCTGAACTAGGCTTTCCTAGATCACCTGCTGCACCCTCTCCCTACCATCTTCATGTGGAGGGTACACCACATTGAGTGCTGTCCAAACCAACTAGTGAGGATTGGACGTGGAATTTTAAACTCTTCCAACAGCGAGCCTGCACAGATGCTGACTTACTGACCATGTTCACTGCCGTATTGTGTGCATCATGGAAGACTCGCCTTACAAATGAATTTCTGAGACTAACCCTACAAACTTAACCTGTTCAAACCAGGTAGACATTTATAGGCCTATTGTCATACAGATGCTAACATCTTAAAGGCTACATTGTATAAAGGATAAAGTATATCCTTCTCTAGTCTCTAGAAAACGGTCATGTTCACTTGATTGTAGTGCTGTATATTTACAACTGTTACAAAAGCCAAGCAGCTTTTAAACATCAGAGTAAAAAGCCAAAAGATGTTTACAAAAAAAGAAAAAGCTTAGATGTTAGTTTTATTTCTCTTTATTTATTTGTTTGTTTATCATGTTATTTATTTCCCTGTGGTTACAAAAAGCTATATTTCTATTTTTCACTGCAGAGAGTGAAATTTGTCCCAAAGGTTGCAGCTGTATTATACCCTACACCTTAGTGAATGGTGCTTCATTCATCTATGAAGATAACTACAAACAGAGTTAGGCCCAATCCCAATTCCTATCTTGACCCTCAATCTTAATTTCAAGCTCAACCCTCAATCTCACTAGCCCTCAAAACCAAGTGTTAAGGGCTATCTTGTGACTTAAAATGGGACACCCCTAAAAGGCAAATACGTCTTAAGACTGTCGGGGGCAGCAATATGCCAAAACTCCGTCCAGTCTGTCAATTTTTTCCAACACTTTATTTCAATTCTTGTACAAAACAAGCAGTGACAGACATGAACAGAACAAATATGCCAGGGTTAAGAGAAAAGAAAAAGAAATAAAATAAAAAAATAGATAAATAAAAAAGTTCAGCTGCTCAAACAATTAAATTGTTTACATATTTTCAGAGTCTTTATAGCTTTGGAGTTTGTGGAGTGCTGAATGGTTTCTAAGTATTGCTGCATTTCATTCATAAAAATTTTGAACAAGAGTTTTCTGTTACAAAATTTTCTCTTATGAATATGGAATTTCGCTAAGATAATAAATAGATTAATGATATAGAATTGTTTTTGTTTTGAAATGCTGACATCATAAAATTCAAACAGCACATCTTTGTACAGTAGTGAAAATAGAACATACATGTTGCAACGAATATACTCGACAAAGCAAAAAGTGACAGTATAGAGGCAGCTCCAAAACAAATGTACAGTTACCAAACAATAATCTTCGACAACGCACTCTGCAGCTGTGCTGACTTCATATTGAAACAGAATGCTTGATCATTAGGGGAACAGCTGCCGTTGTGAAAGAGAATTATGTTATGAATATGAACAGTTCACAAGTTACAAAATATTCACTCCCATAGGTTTTTTGGAGCCTGCTTGCTTTTTGTAAACTTGTCTTCATTGGTGGCCCTGAAATGAATCAGGGCTTGTGTTTTGTCTGGTGGCCCTGAAATGGAACAGAGATAACAACATTACTTTCTTTTATTTTTTAGGGCTACCTGTCAGATATTTATTAAGTTATTAGTTTAGTTTCATGTAGTATTGTAAGTATTATCACAATGAATACTGTAGTCAACATCCAGCAGAACTGGTGAGGCTGTTTACACAGTCACACAAGTGTTATCTGGTGACTTTCATCCATGTTAACGTTTCACTATTTGGGTTAGAAGTTGATATTCAACCAAATAACCTGTACCACAACAACCGACGTAACTTATTCAGCGGAAAGTCACCAGATAATACAACCACTAATAGGGATGCACCAAAATGAAAATTTGTGGCCGAAGCCGAATATTATTAAACGCTTGGCCAAATACCGAATACCAAGTACCGAATATCATTGTTTAGTTTTTCATTAGTTTTTGCAGATGAACCC